CTAGAGGCCTACTAGGTTGGCCCCTCCCAAACTGACCTCTGCCCCTAGCTGGGGCACCTCTGAACTCACCGGAGAACCTAGCTCTCTTATCCTGTTGTATCTTCTCTCTACCCCTCTGGCGATATCCCTCAATCCGGCGAGCAATCTCGACCACTAGCTGATACTTTGTGCCCATCTCCACCTCTCGGGCCATACCAAATCGAATACCAGGCTGCAATCCAGCGACAAACCTCCGCACTCTCTCCGCATATGTAGGAAGTATCATAAGTGCATGGCGGGACAACTCGGTCACCGACATCTGACCCTGCTCAAGTTGCTCGAACTGATACCGTAGCTCCTCCCTCTCAGAGGGCAGAATGTACCTATCCAAGAACAACTGTACGAACTGACCCCAAGTGATGGGAGGAGAACCTGCTGGCCTGCCAAGAACATAGGACTGCCGCCATCTACGGGCCCTGCCCTCGAGCTGAAAAGTAGTGAAGTCAACTCCATGCGACTCCAATATCCTCATATTGTGCAGTCTGTCCCTGCACCTGTCAATGAAGTCCTGGGAATCCTCATGACGCTCACCCCCGAAGACTGGAGGATGTAGCCTGGTTCATCTGTCCTATAACTTCTGTGGATCACCATCCACAGCTGGCCTGGGCTGGGGTGCCACTGTAGTAACTGGCTGAGCCCCATCTGCGGGTAGTGCACCCGAAGTCTGATATACCGCAGCTGCATGACCTAGAGCCTGAGCAGTAGGGGTCTGGGCTCCCCCTGCTGCCTGTAAAGTAGCTGGGTCTGCTGGAAATAAACCAGCCTGAGTCATAGTGTCCATGAACCGTAGCATGCGGCCCATGACCTCCTGAAATCCCGGTGCTGTCATGAAATTCGCCGGGGTAGGCTCAACTGCGGGCACCTCGCCCTGCTCCTCAATGATAGGATCTCCCGCAGGATCCGCTGGTGGCGCTACTGGAACGGCTCCGGGACGCCCTCGTCCCCTACCACGGGCCGGTGCCCTCCCCCGGCCTCTACCTCGGCCTCTAGCAACGGGGGGAGCAGCTTCTCCCGGGTCCGGAACGTCAGCGGTGCGAGTTCTCACCATTTGTGAGAGAATAGAAGAGGGAAATTTAGTACACTAACCACTGCACGACAGGAAATGCATAAAGAGTAGTCTTTCCTAATACCCTATAGCCTCTTGAAGATAAATACAGACGTCTCCGTACCAATCCACAAGACTCTATCAGGTTTGCCCATAACTCGTGAGACCTACGTGAACCTAGTGCTCTGATACGATGTTGTCACGACCCATTTCCACTATAGGTCATGAGGACGCCTGACACCATTGACAGGCAAGCCAACGCGGAAACATTACTAAATTCTTATGTTGCTTTTAATCAGAAATGAGTGAAACAGGTACTTAATTTGGAATTAAGCCAGAAGAGCGAAATACCATAAATAACATAATTATACAACCCAAAAATAAATGTCTACCAAAGTGTGTGCCAGAACCTGGTGTCACAAGTATGGGCATCTAGTAAAATATACAAAAGACATCTCTATCCTACTGTCTGAAATAGGGAAAGACAGCCAAAGTAAAGGAAGACTCCATCCGGCTGCTGAGCGGCATAGGAAGGAAGCAGATCACCGTGGAAGTCTCTGCCACAAGCTCAAGGGCGCGCACCGGACTGGTAACCAGATGTATCTGCCTCAGATCCTGTACAATTAAGTACAGAAGCGTAGTATGAGTACATAAACAATATGTACCTAGTGAGTATCCTGTCTAATCTCGAAGAAGTAGAGACGAGAGGTCGACTTGATACTCACTAGGGTCGAATAATATATCAAGTATTATACTAACCATGAAGAATCACTAATAAGCAACAGTTTATAACAAGGCCTAAAAGTCCTACTCTCCATTATATTTCCCGTTAACCACTTACTTTCGTTATGTTTATCAATTTATATCGGGCCATGAAAGGCAATATCAACATTTAAAACTCTCAGGCAAGCAATATAAGCATGCGCAAATATGCTGAGGCGACGGCCCCATCCAACAGAAATAAACTGTGCACTTGCCGAGGGTCGACGGCGCGCCTATAGATGCATCTATTCATACCGAGGCCATCAGCCCGATCCACAAATAACAAGCAATATCAGGTATACGCACGAAGGCACATCAATAATCAATAATGCCATGCAAGATTTCAACAAGTATACCAGTTCGTTCTTATTCCCTTTCAAGTCTCTAGCATATCCTAGGTGATCATATCAACAAGATAATATAGAGATTTCTATAAATAAAGCATGGTGTGGGTCCTAAACTACCCGGACGATTTAGCATAGTAGTAGCTATGCACGGACTATCATCACCTAGCGCGTGCGTAGCCCTCGCATTTAGCAACAATTACTCAATTGTTATTTCTATGGGGACAATTCCCTCTTACAAGGTTAGAAAGGAGACTCACCTCGCTCCAAAGCGTACTTCCAATATCAAGAACAAGCCCAAGTCCTCAATTCGGAGCCGAACGATCACAAACTAGTTAAATGAAGTAAGAACTAGTCAATATAGGCCTACAAGATCGAATTCTAACTATTTAAGCGATTTCCCAACCTTTTTCACAAGTTTCCTAAATTCCAACCCCGGGCCCACTTGCCCGGATTCCGAGATTTTTCGATGAAAGTTGTTCTCTATAACCTAAGGATCAATAATATATGAATTCTAGTTCATTTCATAGCAAATTTCGTGGTTAAATCTTGATTTTACTTAAACCTTAGGTCTAGCTCTAACCCCTTTGATTTCACCTAATTTTTAGTGTTTAATCAACTTAAAATACATGTATTTAAACTAATAATGAATGGAATTAACTTACCTTGAAGTGCTATGTTGAAATCCTCTCTTTGGAAGCCCCCAAATCGCCTAATGTGGAATAGAAATGAAATAAAATGGCCTTGATTCGAATTAAATGAAACTCCACTAGCCTCAGCGGATTTCCGCTTCGCGGGGGTACCGCTCACTGCTGGTCCCGACACCTGCGAAACGGAGGCGTGCATCTGCGGAAACTGGTGTCGAAACTGGATGACCGCTTCTGCGGTCTGGGTCTCCGCGTTCTGGGGACCGCTCTTATCTGCGGCTTTCGAGTCGCTCCTTGGTTTCTCCCGGCCTGGCCATTAGCCGCTTCTGCGATGGACTGACCGCATCTGCGGTCCCGCTTCTGCTGTCCTAGAACCGCAGATGTGGTTATGACAAAGCACAGACCTTCAGCTATTCTTCAATTTTTCCTACTTCACTAGACCTCGCTCGTTTGACGCTCGGGGATCCCGAGCCCCGCCCGAACATACCGAACAAGTCTAAAATCACGAGGCGGACCTACTCGAACCCTCGGAACACTCAAAGCAAACGCTAAAACCTTGGAATCACCCCTAAAACCAAATGAATTAAACTATTGAACCTCAAGTTTAATTTTCTTCCAACGGGCCAAAACGCCCTTAAACTACTCGAACGACACCAATTTTTCGTGCAAGTCTTAACTGATATTTCGGACCTGTACCAAGCTTCAGAACCAAAATTCGAGCCTGTACGTAGAAAAATCAATGATTTCTTAGTTTCTATAATTTTTTAAACTTCAATTTAACAATTTCCAATAAAAATTCATTACTCGGCTAGGAAATTCAGAATTCATTCCGGGCATACGCCCATGTCCCGTATTTTTCCACAGACCCCCCGGACCATAAATCCCTGATTCGGGTCCATTTTCCAAAAATTGGCCGAAGTCAAACTTGGTCTTTTAAGAAGTCTTAAAGAAACAATGGACATATTTTTACTCAAAACTCTGCCAACATCCCGAAACCAACTGTCCCGCAAGTTATAAATTAGCTATGCAAGCGCGGGAAATTTATTTAAGGAACTGGGTTCTAATAGGCAAACACGACCAGTCGGATCGTTACAAATTAGAAAATGAATAACTAATTGAAAGTACTCTTAGATGATAGAGAAGAAAATGTCAACATATTGCATTGCTACATAGAAGCAAACTAAACTAGCATCCACATCTAATGTAGAATCATATTTCTTTACCTTCCACACAATTCCTAAAAAGCTAAAATACCTTTTCAGTTGACAAGACCTTGATCCTAGAGTTAGAACTAAGTTTAATAGAGCCAATTTTTTGTAGCTAATTCTTTCACTATAAAGGTATTGGATGCACTTGGTTTCACAATACATATTGTTTGAACACTACAAGAATTAGGGTTTTAGCGACACCTTTGTGCGACTATTTAATTGCTACAAAAGTGACAGCTTTTAGTGGCGACCTTTTAGTCGCAGCAGAAATTGAAGTTTAGTGGCGACTGTAATTATGTCGCTACAAAATAAGCACAATTTTTTTCATTCCGCGTACTCGCAAAATTTTATTTTCGCTTAGAGCACATTCGGGACTTTATTAAAAGTTGTCATAGTCATCATGTTGCAAAGCGACCAAAGTCGCCTCTAATTTTCTTCTTCTTTAAAGTTTAAAAAATAAAACAAAAATTAACTTACACCCCGTCTTTTGTTATTTTCTTACTAATCCCCTTTGTCTAACTCAAAAACCCTAATCTAGCAGCAACTCTGTGAAAGCAGGGAACAAAACCAAGTGACTCCCCATTCTCTCCTTAAATCAAACCCTCACCCTTTTCCTCCCCCTCCTCCTCCTCTCTCTCCTAATCGCCTCAACCATTATATCTAGAGTTGAAGATGAGAAAAGAAAACGAAGCAGACGATTTTAGTTTTGTGATACGACGAAGTCACCCTCGTTGTTGTTTTCTCTCATTTCCTTTGAGATTTTAGTAAATGCGTTGAAGTTCTGTTTTGAATTTATTTTCTTATTATTTATTGTTTTTTCGTTAAGGAAAATCTCTTATGTTGAAGTGATTTTGTGGTTTGAATGGTCCTTGAAGTTTTTTTGTGAAGTCTTCAAATGTTCTTTACTTTATTTTAAAATTTGTTAAGATTACTGTGATAGCCTTAGCTTGTTCTTTTTTGTTTGGATAATTTATTATAAATTTTCGTTAAGGGAAAATCTTCATGTTCTGTTACATTCAAGTGCACATGCCTAGGTCACTACTGTGGGTTCTGTTATAGAGTAATTTCAGTAGCTTAAGAGGGCAAATTATGGCCTCCCATGAGATGTTTTTAAATTTGGATCTTTGATGATTTACTGATGTTAGAATGGTTTGGCAAGGATTGCTCAAATCATAAATTTGCTGGAGGCGTATTATACTCCAGTATGTGCTCTTTTCTCCTGCAGATGGATAGTTTTCGGCATGACCTGGCTAAACTCACCATAGGTTTTGATAGTATTCCGCTTTACCCCCAATTTCTTCATTCAGAGAAGTGGTAAACTGCGTCGAAAAAATGATCTCTATTACATAATTTTTAGCATCTGGAATGGATATTAGGAGATTTTGGTTTCTTATTCCCTTTATCTTTTGGTCTCTGATTTGCTTTCCTTCCATAGCTAATGATATTTTCACTGAAAGCTTCAATTCTTTTTTCCTATTAATAGGTATGATTTTGGTGGTTATTGGCCTAGTCTGATCTGATTCATGAAATCTCTCTTTTCCCTTGGAGAAGGAAGAGCAAAGAGTAAGCTTTCTGTTTGAACTTTGGTTTGCAATTATTATATTCATATTCTTTACTTCTATAAAAGTTACCGGAAAGTTTCTCTTAATGTTCATATTATGTTTCATCTATATTTATTCATTCCAATTTGCTACATGTCCCTGATCATGCTATCATTACGGTCAAGGTAATTGTAGTAGGCACCTTGCACCAAAGAAAGAAAATAAAAGGGATTTAGTTCTAATCTCTTTTTGTGGTTTCTTAGGGTGAATTCATATATTTATCCCTTCTTTAAGCAAATATTATGTGAGTAATGGACTATTATACTGTTATGTGGATTCTTAAGCATGGAATATATATTTGTTGTTTCAATTTTCTTCTCTGCCTTGTTTTTCTTTCTCTTCTCTTTTTTTTTATTCATAATAAGAATGTGCCCCTTAATTAATGCTCTCTGTAGTTTTCAAGATCTTAAGGTGAAGTTTGCAGTTCTTTCAGGAAGATAAATTTTCATTTGTTTCATAGTGTAGGACTGTAGGTTGGTAATGAAGAGCGAATTCATTTATATGACACTTGAAAAATTTGGCCTTTCCAAGATAGTTTGACAAACTTAAGCCTACATATTTGAAGTCTCTTGTTGAATCTCAAATAGTAAAATTAGTAATAATGCTTGTCAAATGTAAATTAAAACTTTAAAGAAAAAGCAACAAAGAAATAAAAGGCCATACAGGTTGGAGATTTAGAAGGTTTAGACTTCCATAAAAACCCAAAATAAATGTACATCTTTGACTTGCTAATGCGTGAAGCTAACCTGGTTAGATTGAGGGAAAAAACTGGATGCATGTGATTAGCTATACACCACTTGTGTTACTTTCTTGAATGGTAATTTCACCTGTAATATTATATCAGCCCTTAACTCTTATGATTGCCCAATTTATAATAGATTAATTTAGTTCACTAGGTCTTGTCTCAAGTAAACGTTGTTAACTATCATGTACACAAAATGGTAGATCTTTTTGTATATTGTAAAGGTAAATACACAAAATGGTAGATCTTGCTATGTCTGAAGCTAATATGGTTGGTTGAGGGAAAGATTTGGATTCAATATGTAAGGTTTTAAACACTAAGAAGGAATATGTTATCAATGTTCCTTCTAACAGATTAGATTTGCATAACTGATTATGTTGTTCACTAGGCATACAATGCAAATTCAGTGTATATGCTATCTTTCTTGAAGGACAATCACTTCCCACAATTCTATATAGTTTTAACTGTCCTTCCCCTTTTATATGATTTCCTTCAGTATTTGACTTTGGATGCATATGTTAATGTTCTTTATTTTTTTAATAGCAAGGAAAAGTACAATGGGAAAATGAAGTTGCTCAAGGAGTAGTTTGAAGACGTTGGAGTAGCTTGAAGACATGATCCTTTGCATTTTTCTTAAAATTGTAGGGATAAGGTTTTTCAACATGTAGGAATTCGAACACATTTTGTTTGTTTCTTTCTTTCCATGTGTATATACGATTACAATGTATTATGGAGCATTGTATATATACTTTGTTGCATAGAATTTTTTGGTAATAAAAAGTTCCTGTTTGCGTATTTGGTGGTATTCATTATAATATTAATGTTGTTGGGTAATCAGTAGGAATATAGCTAGCTAATAAATTATTATTTTTTTAAAAGAAAAGAGGCTTTAGTGGCGACCCTAGCTGCCACACAAAGTAGGATTTTTTTGTGGCAATTGGGAAGTCGCAACTGAATATCTTTTAGTGGCGACTACAGTCGCCGTATGTCATTCTGTAGCAGCGACTCACCTAAAAATCTACTTTGTGAAACATGTTTTGGTGGCGACATGGGTCGCTACAAAATGTACACTATTTGTGGCGACTTAGTCGCCACAAAGAACATTCAGTTACGGAAGTACTTGAAGCGAGCCTACGGTCGCTGCTAAAAACATTTAGTGGCGATTTTCTTAGCTTTGAAGCGACATTTGTCGCCACAAAAAGACCGATTTCCTGTAGTGGAAGGACAGCCAATTACATGTTGTTGTATTTTGGAGGTCAAGGATCCCCTCTTGTATTCCTTTGCTCTAATGACATACAACTCCCAATCACTCTTGGAAAGAATTGTATATATATATAGACTATTAACGCCTCAAGAGTGTATAGTTTTAACGTCAATGGAAAAAATAAAAGACTTGTCAAATTTTATTAATGCCACTTTGTTTTCGATGACATAGTAGCACATTCAAGAATGAATACTCATACAAAGAAAGGAAAGAAGACCTGCCAAAATTAATTACAAAATATTGACTGGCATTTATACTGTTCAAATACTAAACTATTCAAAGGATCATTCACGTTGAACAAACTTATATATTTAGTATTTTTTTCAAAACCAATTTGATTTTTCATTATTCATTGCCAGACTAACGCATTGTAATTCAAGACTTTGGGTAATCTCATCAACCAGAGGGAATGCGCCAGTCTCCTGGAATCTGCAGGTGACCAGCAATGCCATATTCTTTTAATTGCTTTTTAAGTCCATAAACTTATATGCAATGTATAATAGGATTACTTTCGCCAATAAAAAAACGATCAATCAGAGTACACACATTCCTGTACTACAAGTATTCAATACAACTTAACTAAACAGAATTGTATCACATTCTTCACCACCCTGCTCATTTCGTTAAAGAATTTTTCACTTCGCTGTATATATAACTATAAATTGGTACTGGTTTAAAAAATAGGGAGTTATTCCGACTACTGGAGAACATAAGTGAACAAAAGTAACATACTTGGAGTACTTTTGATTGTACATATTGGCAACGTAAACTATGAGGATGCACTATTTGTGTAAACTAAAAAAGCTCAACTAGAAAATAAAAAAGGGACTATCTTTTGCTTAGAGGATATTGCTGGGAAAAGAGATGCATATTAGATGGAAGCAACCTTGAGCTTTCTTTAGAATCTAACACCTCCCATCAACAAATTACTCATGCATTGAGATCATTATCAATATTTACTCATGTATATTGGTGTAGTTTACGACTTAATCACAAATCACTTAACTACAATTAATTTGAGAAAATACTTTGATCTTTTATATAACAAAATCGATATACATGTAAGAGTTTGTTAATACAATCTTACTAGCACAATGCAGTAATTTTATAGGAAAATTAATGAAATATCTTGTCTTGAAAACTGATATCATCATCATCAGCTTCTTATAAGGAATATTTCTTATAGAATTGCTTTTCCCCATCTAATTTTTGCAGTAGTTTAGTGGTTACACGTGCGAGGCATGTGACATACATACATACATACATATATATATATATATATATATATATAAAATGGGAAGCTCTTAACTTAAAAGTCAAATTACTAAAATGTTCTTTTATTTAACTAAAAACCTATTTAATTTAAGTTTAAAAAAACCTAGATACAGAGCAGACGCTACAAACGTCCACTTCGACCAGCCAAGCGACGCTTCATGCCCCTTCGAATGGTCACAACCATTCGATGCACAAGTTTCCATTAATCTTATTTTGCCCCTCCTATTTGGAAGAAAGTTTAAGTATGTTATACTTTTATTGTCATTCTTTTTACCGGTTCTTCATACATTGTTGTCTTTTAACATGGTCATTATCCAAGTTTGAGAACAAGAGAAATCGAAGAGAAACCAAGGTTTAACGCTTTTGATTATAGAAAAAAAATGCCTACAACAAGTTTTAAAGCCTAATTTAGAGAAAATTCCGTTTCAGACATTGCTCCACCAAAGAGTTGCACTATTTAGTTTGGAATCCACTGATCATCAGTAATTGGAGTTTCTTTGGAGACATTTTGTTCCATCATTACATCTGTTTACCCTAAAAATGGATAACAATTGAATTTATACTGTGGTTTTAAGGACACGTGATTTACTTAGCACAAACTGAGATAAAAGGGTAAATTAATACTGAAATTAACTGAAAATATAAATATCACGACCCAAAATCCACTAGTCGTGATGGCACCTAACCTAACCCGCTAGGTAAGCCAATTAACAATTATCCATTTCTATTTAACTTAATAAAACAATGAAATAAAGGAATTATCTAAATCTTATACACATCCCAAGGACTGGTAGTACAAATCATGAGCATTTGAAAGTAGAGATCTCAAAACTGATAGGAAATAAATACATTTTCTGTTTGAAAAGTACATAAATAGAGTGTTATAGTCTAAGGCTACCATGAACAAGAGGTAGTTACAGCAGGAACGTAGGTACGAATTCAAAACCAGCAACCCTTGAACACAGCGACATCGGCATCCGAGATCTGTACGCAATGTGAAGGAAGTGTAGTATGAGTACAACCGACCACATTTACTCAAAAAGTAACAAACTTAACCTCGGGTTGAAAGTAGTGACGAGCTGGAACATAAGTCGAGTCCAACACCAGTAACCGAATAGCAGTTCGTAACAGTGTACAGCAAATAAATGAAGAAATAACTCAGAAGTAAAGTGCTCAACCTTTTCATAGTTTTTCCCAAAATAGTTCCACTTTTCAAGTAAACCAATGAAAGCCCAAATCCTTTACCGAAATCGTTAAAAATATGAGTAAGTTTGAAAACTCTAACTTTTTCCCAAAAATCCTTTCAGCAGTAAATGTGATGTTTCATTTCCTTTCCAGATAGCATGTGTGAAATAACTCTCTATGACCACATATCAATGTGTGTAAAAAGTCATGAATGACGTTATACCGTACCGTATGAGGAAAATGCATCTTTATGCCTGTATGTCATGTGCATGTCAAATGCAATGTGACCCAGCATTAAAACCATATACATCCTCTCAGAGTATCAATTTACTCAGTCCTCTCAGTCACTCAGTCCTCACAGTCACTTAGTCTTCCCAATCACTCGGAACTCGGCACTCGGCCCTCGCACTCAGTAGGTACTTGCACTCACTGGGGGTGTGCAGACTCCGGAGGGGCTCTTCAGCCCAAGGGCTATAACAGGTCAATCATGGCATAAATCAATCAGGCCCTCGGCCTCACTCAAGCATAAATCAATAAAACATGTTGCGGCATGCAACCCGATCCCATTAATATCCTCACCATCTGGCCCTCGGCTTACTCAATCATCAATTCTCCAGTCTCTCGGGCTCTCAATGTCATGAAACTAGCCCGACAACAACGATATGATGTATCAACAAACAACAATGGAGACTGAGATATGATATGAATGCATGAGTATGTTTGAGTACGAAATATCAATGAAATTAGTGAGGTGACGGCAAGGAACGACCACTGTGGATCCTAACAATATCACCATAAAGCCGACCTCCGAACGGCTCGAAACTAATCAATAATAACTCAAATACTTCAAACAATGTTAAAGAAACAATCCCAATCGAAAAAGCTCGAATCTTTAATCAAAAGCCCAAAATCGGCTAAAAGCCCAACCGGGCCCGCATCTTGGAACCCGACAATACTCACAAAATACGACAACCCATTCAATTATGAGTCCAACCATACTAATTTCATTCAATTCCGACTCCGAAATGATGTTCAAAACTGAAAAATTCACTTTATGAAACTTCACGAAAAAACTCCAAAATTTTACTTTGAAATCATCAATCAAATGCCAAAAATGAAGATGGATACATGAAATATAACCAAACCGAGTAGAGAACACTTACCCCAATCCATATGGTGAAAATCGCCTCCAAAATCGCCAAAATCCGAGCTCCCCAACTCAAAGTATGACCAAATGAACAAACCCTTATTTTATATATTTTTTTGCCAATTATTCAGCCTCGTTTCTCGTGCCAAATGATTCCGAAACTCACTTTTGATGCTTCCAGTAGATTCCTTGTGAAATTTTAGTCAAGTTAGTTCTTGAATCACTCCATTTGACCTTATATTGAAGGAGATATGTTGGTTTCAAAATTTGGAAATAGTGCAGATTTTTAAATACGAACTCAGTAGCAATTTCGTAATTAATTTGAAAAATTTGGCAACTCAATTTTAAGTAAAATGACCATAAAATCCTCATACGATATCCAAATTCAACGATTCTTTCTGCGATGGCTTCGTAATTACGATACAGATCTAATGCTTCAATTAAAATATAAATCGGAGCTCATTTGCTTAATGTAGTACCATTTATGCTTGAAGAAACGACGTCGAAACATAAAAAACGAGCGAAACACAACCCAAACCTATCCGAACTCACCCGAGCGCCTCGGGAACCTCTTCGAACATACCAACAAGTCCCATATCATAACACGGACCTACCTCAAAATACACATAACAACATCGAAACGACGAATCACACCTCTATTCGAAATCAATGAACTTGAACTTCAAAATTCCACAACCGATGCCGAAACCTATCAAATCATGTCCGATTGACCTTAAATTTAACACACAAGTCACATTTGACATTACCGACCTGCTCCAGCTTCCAAAATATGAATCCGACCCTGATATTAAAAAGTCCACTCCCAGTTAAGCTTTCCAAAATTCCAACTTTCGTCATTTCAAGCCAAATTCTACTACGGACCTGCAAATCACAATCCGGATGCGCTCCTAAGTCAAAAATCAC